ACAGCCTCGCTCCCTCTCTCTCTCTCTCACTCGCTCGCTCTCTTTTTTTTTTTTTCCTTCTCAATCCGGTCAGCGAATCGTCGGCTCGCTCCGCCATCACCGGGGACCAGCGCCACGTCTTCTGGAACATCTTTAGGACTTTTTCAGGACGTAACGTCTCGTCTCCCCCGGTGAGTTCTTCTCCTTCTTTTATGCAGAATTCAAAGTGGATGCATTGGGGGAGATTTACTAAAAGTGGAGCACTCAGAACCCGGGGCCACTGTGCACGGCGGCCAATCAGCTTCTAGCTTCAGCTGGTTCAGTTCAGCTTTGACAATGAAACCTGGAAGCTGATTGGTTCCTATGCAGGAGTGAGCCGGATTTTGCACCTTCCAGGTTTAGTAAATACCCCCCAATGGCCAGGCTGCTGACAAGTTCAACTTCTAGGCGTCCATCGGGCGATGTGGCTGTTTTTGTTACTTTTTATTCCTTTGCGTTTCGATTGGTGACAACGGCTCTTGTCAGAGGCAGGATGGGAGCAGATCATCGCTTCCACTCTGCAGACCATCCCTCCTGGAATATATCAAATGACGGGGAACCCAGCACATGGCACATCGGGGATGGAAAACTCAACTTCTTCTTCTTTTTCTACTATTATTCCATATTGTGTCCATGGGTTGTCACCCTCTGGGGGGGGGGGGGGGGGTGAAAAAGTAATTTGAATCTCTGATATCTGAATGACACAACTGATCCCCAGCGGTCCCACATGGAAGAAGAATATATTTCAATTATATTTTAAAAATATTCTTCCCAAATATATTGACATATGTTTGAAATGCTACAATTTTGGCCGTATTCAATATATATATAAAAAAAATAAATATAAATATATATATACTGTATGTTGAAATGCATTTTTGTTACAAAATATATGAAAAATATTTTTAAAAATACACTTAAAATATACTGTAGAAATCTGAAGAATATATTAAATATAATATATATATATATATATATATATATATATATATATATATATATAAATAATATTTTTTTTAAAAAATATATATATATTTGTGTGTGTGTGTGTGTATATATATATATATGTATATATATACATATATATACACTGTATGTTGAAATGCGCTTTTATTACAAAATATATGAAAAATATTTTTAATAATACATTTCAGATACACTGTATGTCTTTAAAAAGTACAAATCTACATTTTTGGAATGCATTTAGAAATATATTTAAAAATATCTACACTGCATGTTGAAATGCGTTTTTTTATATATATTACAAAATATATGAAAAGTATTTTTAAAAATATATTTTTTATAAATATATTCTTCAGATTTTTTTTAACATATAAAAAAGTCATTTTAACAAACTTTTCAGAAATACAGTATGTCTTTAAAAATACAAATCTACATTTTTGGAATGCATTTAAAAATATATGTAAATATATATGTTAAAATTACTTTTTTATATGTTAAAAAAAATCTGAAGAATATATTTAAAAATATATATTTTTTAAAATATTTTTCATATATTTCATAATATATAAAAAACACTTTTCAACATGAAGTGTATATATGTTTAAATATATTTGTAAATGCATTCCAAAAATGTAGATTCGTACTTTGTAAAGACTACAGTATATCTGAAATGTATTATTAAAAATATTTTTCATATATTTTGTAATAAAAATGCATTTCAACATACAGTGTGTATATATATATATATATATATATATATATATATATATATATATATATACACATACACAAACACACATATATATATATATATATATATATATATATATATATTATTATTATTTTATTTTTTTTTTTTTTTTTTTTTTAAATATATATATATTTTTTTTTTTTTTTAAATATATTCTTCAGATTTCTACAGTATATTTTAAATGTATTTTTAAAAAAATTTTCACATATTTTGTAAGAAAAATGCATTTCAACATACAGTGTATATATATATATTGAATATGGCCAAAATTGTAGTATTTCAAATATATGTCAATATATTTGGGAAGAATATTTTTAAAATACATTACAAATCTATTTCCATGTGGGGTGGGACGGTCTCCGAGGGACAAAAAGACACGTGCAGCTAAATTGGAACAGGAACTTCATGTGTACAGTCTGGAGGAAAGAAGGGAAAGGATGGACGCGAGCGACACCTTTTAAATCCAGGAAGGGAGGGGGTGAGGTTCGGGAGGGCAGGACTTTCAGATCGGGGACACGACCTCCAGCCTAGAGGAGAAAAGTTCCACGCTGACCTTAGAAAGGATTGTTTTACTGAAGGAGTAGTTGGTGCGTGGAACGGACTTCCAGCGGAGGTAGCGAGCCCATCGGCGGTCGGTGGATTCAGACATGAATATGAATGGAGACCTGGGAGAGATTTTAAATTACCTCAAAATCTATTTAAAAATTATCAAAATGATTTTCGCTGTTAGTGGGGCGATGGCACCGGACGATTTTCGTGGTTCCTTCTCATTTAATTTATCGGGCACGCTGGAAAATTCGTGAAAAATGACCGATTTTATAAATCATTGGTGGCACCATCGGATTACAGAACGAACGATGTTTTCGATTTTCAATTGAAAAATCGTTCGGAATTCGACCCATGTATGTCCTGCTTTAGTCTGTAGGGTTCAATATTGAGTTGGCCCCGCCCTTCCCACATACATGACCTTTAATGGCCCCCCAGTCTTAGCCCGTAGGGTTCAATATTGAGTTGGCCCCGCCCTTCCCACACACATGACCTTTAATGGCCCCCCAGTCTTAGCCCGTAGGGTTCAATATTGAGTTGGCCCCGCCCTTCCCACACACATGACCTTTAATGGCCCCCCAGTCTTAGTCCGTAGGGTTCAATATTGAGTTGGCCCCTCCCTTTCCACACACATGACCTTTAATGGCCCCCCAGTCTTAGTCCGCAGGGTTCAATATTAAGTTGGCCCCGCCCTTTCCACACACATGACCTTTAGTGGCCCCCCAGTCTTAGTCCGTAGGGTTCGATATTGAGTTGGCCCCGCCCTTTCCACACACATGACCTTTAATGGCCCCTCCCAGTCTTAGTCCGTAGGGTTCAATATTGAGTTGGCCCCGCCCTTTCCACGCACATGACCTTTAATGGCCCCCCAGTCTTAGGCCGTAGGGTTCAATATTGAGTTGGCCCCGCCCTTTGCAGATATAACAGCTTCAACTCTTCTGGGAAGGCCGTCCACAAGGTTTAGGAGGGTGTCTATGGGAAGGTTGGACCATTCTTCCAGAAGCACATTTGTCAGGTCAGGCACTGATGTCGGGGGAGGAGGCCTGACTCGCAGTCTCCGCTCTAATTCATCCCAAAGGGTGTTCTATGGGGTTGAGGTCAGGACTCTGTGCAGGACAGTCAAGTTCCTCCACCCCAAACCGGCTTCTCCATGTCTCTATGGACCTTGCTTTGTGCACTGGTGGGCAGTCATGTTGGAACAGGAAGGGGCCATCCCCAAACTCTTCCCACAAAGTTGGGAGCATGAAATTGTCCAAAATGTCTTGGTATGCTGATGCTTTAAAAGTTCCCTTCACTGGAACTAGGGGGTCAACCCAACCCCTGAAAGACAACCCCACACCATAATCCCCCCTCCACCAAACTTTACACTTGGCACAATGCAGTCAGGCAAGTACCGTTCTCCTGGCAACCGCCAAACCCAGACATGTCCATCGGATTGCCAGACGACAGAGAAGCATGATTGGTCACTCCAGAGTCAATGTCTCCACAGCTCTAGAGTACAGTGGCGGCGTGCTTTACACCACGGCATCCGACGCTTTGCATTGCACTTGGTGATGGAAGGCTTGGATGCAGCTGCTCGGCCATGGAAACCCATTCCATGAAGCTCTCTACGCACTGTTGTTGGGCTCATCTGAAGGCCACACCAAGTTTGGAGCTCTTTAGCTATTGACTCTGCAGACAGTTGGTGACTTCTGCGCACTGTGCGCTTCAGCATGCGCTGACCCCACCCTGTCATGTGACGTGGCCTACCACTTGGTGGCTGAGTGGCTGTTGTTCCCAGTGGCTTCCACTTTGTTATAATCCCACTAACAGTTGAGCGTGGAATATTTAGTAGCCAGGAAATGTCACGGATGGACTTATTGCCCAGGTGGCCACCTATCACGGGACCACGCTTGGAGTCACTGAGCTCCTGAGAGCGACCCATTCTTTCACCAATGTTTGTAGAAGCCGTCTGCATACCTAGGGGCTTGATTGTATACACCTGTGTCCATGGAGGGGATTGGAACACCTGAATCACATGATTGGGAGGGGATTGGAACACCTGAATCACATGATATTGAGGGGATTGGAACACCTGAATCACATGATATGGAGGGGATTGGAACACCTGAATCACATGATATGGAGGGGATTGGAACACCTGAATCACATGATATGGAGGGGATTGGAACACCTGAATGACATGATATGGAGGGGATTGGAACACCTGAATCACATGATTGGGAGGGGATTGGAACACCTGAATCACGATTGGGAGGGGATTGGAACATCTGAATCACATGACTGGGAAGAGATTTGGAACACCTGAATTACATGATATGGAGGGGATTGGGACACCTGAATCACCTGATATGGAGGGGATTGGAACACCTGAATCACATGATTGGGAGGGGATTGGAACACCTGAATCACATGACTGGGAAGGGATTGGAACACCTGAATCACATGATATGAAGGGGATTGGGACACCTGAATCACCTGATATGGAGGGGATTGGAACACCTGAATCACATGATTGGGAGGGGATTGGAACACCTGAATCACATGACTGGGAGGGAATTGGAGCACCTGAATCACATGACTGGGAAGGGATTGGAACACCTGAATCACATGACTGGGAGAGGATTGGAACACCTGAATCACATGATATGGAGGGGATTGAAACACCTGAATCACATGATATGGAGGGGATTGGAACACCTGAATCACATGATATGTAGGGGGTCAGAACACCTGAATCACATGATATGGAGGGGGTTAGAACACCTGAATCACATGATATGGAGGGGGTCAGAACACCTGAATCACATGATATGGAGGGAGTTGGAACACCTGAATCACATGACTGGGAGGGCGGGGCCAATACTTCCAGCAGTATAGTGTCTACCTGTA